AGAAAAAGGAAGTCTTTGGACCAACAAGAATAGGTTTGCACTCTAGGAAAATTAAGTTGAGAGTACTTCCAGCCTTCAGCCACCTGCTCAACGGAGTGCCCCCGCTGGTGTTCTTGCAGATGTTTTCCTGTGATAAAACTCGCAACAAAACCTTGTCTTATCATCCCGCGACAAAAACCCGCCTACACAAACAAAGTTAAAGGAATCCAGTGGCACTAAAGCTATTTGTGTAAATTTATTGCTCGTGTAATTCATAGCTCTGGTGCTTTCATGTTCGCTGAGCTATTCCTACATTTTCTTGTTGAGTTCTTCTTTCTCAAATATTACATATGACCCATATAACAATACGGAGCAAGTTCAGCCTGTTTTTCTGCAGCTATTCTCAAGTGGATGAGTAAGAAAATAATGATCTTGCATAACTTGTATTTTTTTTTTCCTCTTTTTTTTCCAGATCAAGCCTCGTTTTTTTCTGATTATTTTTGTGTTGTTTTTGGATTTTCCTTGCTCGAGCATTCATTGCAAGAAGGAGGGGGCTTAATGCTTCACTTGTATAAATGTGTCTTCTCATTGTATTAGTTCCTCCATACGCGACCGTATTGTCCTGGTCACTTGTAATTACCATCACCCCAGAACAGCCTATTGTCCCAGGATAAACTATTATAATAGGGGGCTGACAATGGGGTACACACATGCACTTGTACATGTTGCCATGGATAGAAAGTCTCACTTTTACGTGCAACAAGCACTGTACTTATAATAAACTCAGTAAAATTATTACACCAAGTTATTACTTAGAAATTAAATTCATAAAATGTGCTTACTAATCCGCAGTTGTTCTCGAAAGATTTGGCTCAGATTTTTATTTTCAATGATTATCATTACCGATCCTTGATGTAATGCATCGCTGTTGCCTAGATGCAATCACTTCTAGGCTTCAATTCCCATGCACACCTGTGTGCACTTGCATTACCACCTGTGCCTCGAGGAGGTGGTATTTCTATTCCATTCAAATTCCTTATTAAATAGCAGGTATGTAAGTTGGCAATGCAAGATTCCCCACGTATAAAATAAAGTGGGTCTGATAAAGTGGTTGAGCATGTAAGGTGAAAATTTGTTAAATCCCACTTTTGTTCACTTTTAATCATGTTTTTAATTGACTCACGTGACTATCTCTATAAATTTTGCATTTTCATATAATACTACTTTTCCCTCGAGGGTAATATTTTCAAACTGCACATAGTTATCTGAAACCAAATTGAGACAAGAGAAGGCTATGCAAATTGCCCATAGTAGGTCAAACAGGAAGTCCTCAGACCTATTGAAGGTTCAGCCTGGGACATTTGCATGGGCGCGATTGGACAGGTTGATGGCAGGCATTATAATGGCTGACCACTTTGCAAAGCCTTGTGTGCACAGGTTGGCTCATTTGAATGATTTTAATGACAGTTCCTTGCCTCTGGAGACATCATTCCATCTAGCTTTCAAATCCAGAGCTGGGACAGCAAAATATACTCATTTTTGGTTGTGTTTATGCCATAGAGTCTGCTTACCTGTATATGTATGTGAAATAGAGCACTGAAAAAAGGCTGATTCCAAGTCAAACAGCTAGTAGATGTGATTGTGAAGTTAAAAATGATTAACTTTTGGTCTGATAACTGTTGATGATAGAATAATCATATAGTAGATGTTTATTAGTTCTCAACAGTTTACATTGCCCCACTATTTTTAGGGCAAATAGCTTTTTGCAAAAACATAATGCATACAAATATCATAACTTTAATTGTTTACAGTGCCTTCCAAAAGTGATTATAGCCTCTAATTTTTGTCACATTTTGTCATGTTATTACTGTGTCAAGATAACATTCTGTCATGTTATCTTGACACAGTACATTTACTGTGTCAAGATTTTAGATGACAGACCAGCAATCCAGTGTATGGCTGTACACCCAGAGCTCCTTTTAATTTTCAAAGTTTGCTGTATGGTTTTACAACTAACGTTTTAAACTTCTACACAATTTTGCTCCTCACCGTTTTGGTGAAGTCTTCACAAAACATGAAAACGTTTAAAGCTTACGAGTATTTTTTTCAAAGTACATAGGAATGATTATGTATTTAACTTTATTACTTGCAACCTTGAGTGGCTCATTTTTTTTTCTTCATTGAATAGATGTCAGAACCTGACTACCAGTAGAGCTAGTTTTGCATTTTCCTTTGGGTGAGTTCCTGTCAAAGACTTCCCATAATACCTGCTGCCCCTATAGCAAATTATGTAAAACATTATCTCATATCCAGTGCCAGCTCTTTAGACAGACTTTACCCCTCACCCACTGCATGCACTGCATGCTTTGTTTTCTGCTGGTGCAACAGGATTAATGCATGTTCAAATTTACATGCTGTTGTGGACAGATTTGCATTTTCTTCTGCTTTCACTTGATTCTGCTGATAATAATTGTACCCCTGAAAAATAGGTGTAAAATTGTAGGTGTGCCACATAAACAACCAGCTTAGAAACATTTCTACAAGTTAAACAATACACTGGAATATGCCACTGATCCGCTCATTCTTCTAGCAATCTGTTGTTCCATCTGTTTAATCCAGTTCATCATTGCATTATTGTTTTTCAGGAACTCTTCTTCTCCTACCACTGATTCATTGATACGGCTTTCCCTGAACTCTGTGGCCACGTCTGCAGCACAGATTTGACCAGATACTGTTTCAGAACTGTTCAAAGGGAAACAAATGTTCAGATGAATGTAGGTGTGAAAAATCACACCTCTGCCTCGTTGCAGCGCATGGCGTACAAAATCATTGCATGTTTTCATTGATTGTCTCAAGAGATTTCAAAATAATCCCAAAAACATTCAAATAAAATGGACATATCTTTCATCCTGCCTTATGCTTTTTGTTGGATTTTGTTTGCTCAATTATGATTTTTATAGCACAACTTCAGATTAAAGCTACAAATAGCTCAATAAATTCAGTGTTTGCATTTTTTATATATAGAAAATGTTCCATATCCTATGAAGTTCTCTTTCATGCAGTTCGTGTTTTGAAATGCCCCAGAAACATTTTGCTTTCTGGGGCAAGGAAGACTTGCACAAGGAAGGCTTCTCCCCGTGTCACCTGTGTGACCCTGTAAACTTAAAGTGAGCAAGACTTGTGTCTGTTTTAATTGTATGCATGTGCTCCATATGTGCAAGAGCAGTTGTTTATTTTCACATGTAGATGTGCAACTTCAAAAGAGCAGGAAGTGGAATTTTGAGAGGGGAAACCTCCACCCACCCAGAGGGTGATCACGCACGCGCACATGCTCTCTTAACCAAAGGTGAACTGTGTACAACACATAGTAAACACCTCAGCCAGCGGCCTCTCTTGATATGAATGATCCTCCTATAATAGTTACCTCCTGGTGAACTGAGTCGGTCAAATGTGCCGTTTGTCAAGCTGCCATCTGAACCTTTCAGACAAAAGCTGTAGATTGTGAGGTTAGTCACAATTATCTCACTAAAAGCCTGTCTTCTTTTTTTTTGTGCTCTATTTTTAGTTTGGGAGACACGCCAAGCTTCATATTCCATATCACAGATGTGCAGGGGCATATCTCACCTGCAGCACTGATCATATCATGTTATTCTATGACGTTTTCTACTTGATTTATCCCCACATGTAAACTACTGCAGATAAATACATTTTAATTTCTCTAATTACACATCCATCTCTGTTTCCATAAATTGTGACTGTAAAATGCTAGTGCCAGGTCAGTGGTGAAACAAGTGCATGCAAATATCATATTATGAACCCATTTTCTTCCTTTTGTGGTAAGCAGCCTTTATGTTTCTTGTAATGCAAAGATAGCTCAACAAAAAAAATTATGTCACTCAGGGTTGTTTGTGTACAAGGTGTAGAGTGAGCTCAGATGGGCTGGTCTCTAACTAGAGGGCATAACCTTTGACAAAATGGTTGAGACATTCACACCCCCAAATCATAGTGGCTTAATAAGACTGTTGCATGCAGGTGGTGTTTCTCAACTTGTTTCAGCACTCATGACCTCTTGAACTGGCAGTGTTTCCAACACCTTTCAAAAGTATACATAGAAATAGAGCTTTCTCACATTACAACCATACAATTCAATGTATTTGTTTAAGGATTTTTACAGGGATTAGAACAAAGTAGTGCATTACCATGAAGTGGATGAAAGAGGCTTATTTCAATAAAATTTATAAATAAAAAATTGAAAAGTGTTAGATTTGCATGTACACAGTCCTCCTTATCCTTAAAGGTAAGCCAGTGTCTTCAAGAATCATTAATTAGCAAATGAGCATATTGTGACACTGACCTTTTGAGGGCCTCAGATGTTTGTTGGTCACTATCATAGTGACCAAGGAGAAAACTCCAGATAAGTCAAGAGTAGTGCTGCAGAGAAAGGCAAATAAATGTTGGGTTATATAATAATACTCCATACTTTAGATATATAAAAATGCATTGCTGAAACCGTTTTCAAAAATGAAAATAGTATTTATTTATGTAATTAAATAAATTATTTATTTAATTAAATGAATATTATTTCTTGCACATACGAATGAGGAATATTGCATAGTAATTTTGGAATTTTTACATCCCTCTCCTATATATTTGATGTTTATTTATTTATTTTAGTTTATATTTACGCTCTGCGAAACATAGACTCTGCAGATCAGTGTTTCATACTGATCTGCCTGGAAATCAGTATGAAAAACAGCATAAACAGTGGAGATTATGGCTATAACTGTTCAGCTATAACTGATTCCAGGCCACGTCGACGTAAGAGGAAGTTACGTCAGTAATAATAATAATAAAAAAAGAATAAAAATAAAGTTTTACTTTTTAAAAATAAAAATAATCTATTTTATCTGCTAAGAAAAATTAAAACGTGTTAGTGGTGTAAAATAAATACGAGTTTAATGTATTTCTTTATTTTTAAAGTTGCCAAATTAAGACCGATATATTTTTGCTGCAGTGAAACGACCTCCAATGGCTGTCGGTGCGGTGATGCACATGTCTTCGAGCTGAATAACTTTCACTCCGGGGCACATAGGGGGGACTCACAGGCAAAATGTCTCGCCACAGAAATGTTCGAGGTTACAACTACGACGAAGGTAGAGTCATTTCACACAGAAATGGTTCATATTTTAAGTTAAAAGCCGGGCCTCGTCATGCTAAACATGCTAGCCGCTAAGCTAAACTTCACTGTTGTTGACAATTGCTTTGCTAGCAGCTAACACTAGCTCATGCAGCTGGCAAAATAATGTTGCTGTCGTGTCACCTAGTGGGAAATGCAGCTCATTTAGATTATGCTTTTCCACCAAATTATAAAGCTGGTTTAAAACCATTGTATCATAATCTGCCATCACGAGGACTCAACAAATGATAACACTGCAGAATCTGCTAGCAGCTGCTAACTATTAAATGTTTTGTCAAAGACACCTGGATTCGCTTATTTATTGTTGTGTAGATTCGTCTTTTTGGTTATAAATCTTCTGATTGTATTGGCTGAAACCAATATGTGGCTATTATTGTTGATAAAAGTAAACACTCATAATCCTAGGCTACAGCATGTTGAGGATTTTTAAGAACTGCTGACAAAGCAGTGACAGCTGTCAGTAAAGACAGCAGCTTTTGTCGATAAACAAGTATTTTGTGAAGCAAAATTAAAATTATAATAAAAACAACTTTTTTTAACTGTATTTTTGTTTTATATCTAGACTTTGAAGATGATGACATGTATGGACAGTCTGTGGAGGATGACTACTGCATTTCACCAGCAACAGGTCGGTTTTAAATAATCAAGGGGATTTTATAAGCAATATTTGTATTAGACACACCATCTATTAACAGAACTATGTAGAAAAAAAACAAGAAAAAAACACTTGCTGATTTCAAGACAGGAAGACTTTCAGAAATATATTCTGATAAGATATTTTAAAGATTACTAGTTGTAAAGTTGTTATAGACTGGTAGGATTCTCTTAGTGTGATACACTTGAGTATAAAAATGCTTTGAAAAGGACCATGATATGTACACAAAGATTTAAAATTAAACATAAAAACATTATCATTTCATTTGCATTTTAAACAGATAATCATTGTCTACTATAGTTGCTAAAACACTAGTAATAATAAAAATAATGGTGCTGGTGTTTTGATTTTGACATCTATGCATATTGAGCAAGTGAGAGAACACAACTGAGTATGCTAACAATCACTGTTTAAACTACTCATGATATTAATTTGCCAATGAATTTCATTTTAAGTTACTTTGTAATTTCACGAATTAAATTCTGCTTCATTGTCAATCATACTTTAATTGCAAGTGATTGTTTTGAAACAAATGTTCAGTGGTAGAAGACATAAAAAATGTAGAACACACTTCAGTTGAATTGTTAACAGTTTTATGCAAACATATGGCACAGAATATTCATTTTTTTGTCATTGTGCTCTGGGAGTTAAATACCTACAAGCTGAGCCAGGTGCCTGGGGGAGAAGTCTTGGAGTCAGCCTGTTTACAGCGATAATACACTTAGCTTCCCAACTCTACTACCGAAAAAAACAAAAGAGTTACATTAATGAAAGTGATGAATTTAAGCTGTTTGTGATTCAGTGCAGGGACTTTCCAATCATCCTACTTTTTCTTTGCCACCTTTTACCAAGTTTCACTGTTTTCTGACTTGCGCGTTGTACTTTCAGGTTTCTTATTTTGATGTTTCAAATATAAAGCAAAGAAAGTAATGACATTGTTTGCATTGTTTGTTTCATATTTTACAGTTGTTTTAATTTTTTGACTGTGTTTGAAGAATTGCTAATATATAAATTCAATTCAGTATAAAAACGTCACCTGAAGGCTTTTTATAAAACGAGTCCAGTTCACAGTATGCCCAATTTATGACAACAGTGGAGAGAGATTTCCATTGAATCATTGATGATTGATTGTTGTGTACCATGCAACAGGCTTGTTATCAGCTGTTAAGTGAAGGTATTTTTTGTTTATTTAGCCAATCAGTTCATCTATTCACGCCGAGAGCTTCACGCACCCAAAGAGGAGCCTCTGGAGGAGGAAGAATATGAAGATAAGGATGTTCCCATGTCCCCTTGTGTTGACTTCAACCTTGACCCTCTTAATCAAGGTATTCATAAAAAAAAAAGACTGCAGCCAACTTTGGGTGACATAAGTTAATTATATTGTCATAATCTTTACACTGTTATTTTTTTACTGTTACATTTGTCTTGTCTCCCTTGTTTCTTAGCAAAGCTGTTCTCCTGTCTGGACCACATGCGAGCAGTACTAGGAGACACAGTGCCAGACTCCGTCCTGACCCAGGCTGCAATGAAACACAGATTTGATCCACAGAGGGCTCTGGATGCAGTGCTGTCTGAAGACAGTAAAACAGCACCAGTTACCAGAAGTGCAGCAGAAGACATGCCGTCAGTGGGCCGAGTTGCACAAGAGCAGACGCCTCTTCCACAGAGAACCAAGCAGGAGGCCGTTGCTGAGAAAGGTACGCCGGTACTGGATCAAAGTCTGAAATTTTGTGTTCAAAATATGACTGTTACAAACACAAAAGTATTTGAAGTTGATATTTTAAAGTCATTAGCATTTTATGCTAGGGATTAGTACTCATTCCTTAACATTACAAACTGCAGTCACATCAGTTTCTGTGAGTGTTCCACAGGGAATGAAGATCCTCACAATAAATCTAGTATTTTTCGAAAGCTGTCAATGCTTCCTAATCCAGTGTGCTTGCTGGATGACAGCTTCTAGAGAGCTCACAGGAATAAAAACAGAGCAACTTGATTGGCCTGTTTGGTGGCCAAGTCACCCCATTGTTAATCTGTCAAAACTTCCCTCAGGTCAGATATGAATTTATGTCCCTTGGCATATTCATCATACCCAATAGTTGTTAAAAATATTAAAAGATTAGACAGGTGATCAGCACCTGTCTAAGTTGGCTGTCGATTTTTGCAGTCTGAATAACCTCCTGAGAAAATACAGTGAAAAATAGTTTTCTCAGAAAAAAGCTGCTTACAGCTATTGTGTTTAATCTGTCTTCACGTCTTCTGAAAATAGCGTATAAGTGTATTCACAGTCTTCACATGTCTTCTGAAAATAGCATATAAGTGTATTCACTGACTATGCTATTCTCACTAGCATAGTCAGACTAGTCTGAAAAGCATAGTCCTTTTCAGACTAAGGACAATGCTTAGTGTGACCTGGTAGCGATTAATTATAATGCGTTAATTTCGTTCAGTTCCAAAAATTTAATATTGTGAAAAAGTTCAACTAATTTCAGAAAGTGATATTCATTATACAAAATGAAAACCCAAAATTCAGTGTGTCAGAAATATAACATAAAAACAGCCTTTTTTATCAATAAAAAAGGATGTTTTAAAATCATATTAATTTCTGTGCACTCAGCACTTGGTTGGGGCTCGTTTTGTATAAATTACTGCACAGAGGCAATCAACCTGTGGTTCTGTGTAGGAAGCCCAGGTTGCTTTGATGGCAGCCTTCAGGTCATGTACATTATTGAGTCTGGTCTCTCATCTTCCTTTTGATTGTACTCAGTAGTTGGTTCCAGTCTGGGCGATTTACTGGCCACTTAAGCTCAGTCACACTTTGGTCATTGAAGGACCTTTTGGTACTTGCGGCAGTTTGGGCAGATGGCAAATTAAATCAGCATTTATTTAAAACTTATCAGCAGAGGAAAACATGAAATTATTCTCTTTGTGCAGAGTAAGATATGAGTTTCACTTTCTGAAATGAGTATATTGTAGTGAAGACCAGATTTTAGAATGGCTGTAGTAAAGCTGAAAATCGCCAGTTTCTCGCCACCAGTCAATCTCTTACATCTTTACTAATTCATATATTGCTGCAGCAGGTTAAGATTTTTATGTGGAATTAAAGTATTTTCCTGTTTCTCTTATCAATTATATTATTTAATAGATGGCAGTGAATTGATATGTTTCTTGTTTTGATATTTCAGAGGCTAAAGATTTTTCAGTTGCATAGAAAAATATTTTGGACAATCATTGGTTTAGTGTTTTTAGAAACTTATCAGCATAGACTCAGGTGATGATACATTTAAAACGTGCAATTGATTAACAAATTGCCTTCTTCTCGTTTCCCTCCTCGTTGTTGATGCCTTCTGCGTTGTGGTCCCCATTGTCCTTTCTCAACTTGGCTTTTGTAAGGTAAGGAGCCTGCTTGTTTCACACAGACAACACACCCAAGGCACATAAAACGACACAACCAAGTGAAATCAATATGCAGAACATCTTGGTGCAACATAAACCTGACCCGATGAACAGCAACTCTGTCAAGAAAAACATTCACCCTCATTTAGGCATCAGTTGTGATACCAGTTTGGCTCAGTTCATGTCTGAGCATGAGCAGAAGAGTAACACAGGAGTAAGTGATTCAGGGCGAGGGTTGGCTGTTTCCTCCTTGAGCACTTTAACATCAGCATCTAATTCCCAACTAACAACTGCACCTAACAGGAGTGGTTTATCGCTTGGAACGCTGGCATCTTTACAAATGACTTTAACACCACAAACATCGACTCCCTCCATCCTTTCTGCCTCACTTGGTAATCTGTCACTCAACAGTCCAAACATGTCTACACCAAGTTCCAGTCTGGCTCCTCCTCCTGGGTTCGGAAGCCTCAGTTCTGTCAGGAAATATAGTCCGCTCTCAGTTGTCGACCCTAAAGGAGGCCCATCTTTGGCCGAATTAATCCAAGAACATTCGAACCGTAGTCCATCTTTGCAAAGCTCACTGCTGACCCCTGCTAACCAGGGGAATGCTGCACCCTCGTTGTCTGACCTAGCTTTTCAGCATCAAAAAAGAGGGATTCACTCTGAATGTCAAAGCACTGAAAGATCACTAAACACACTCTCTTCCCCATTTTGTCTGGGTGGTACTGTCACACTGTCAGATCTAGCCCAACAGCATGAAACCAACTGTGCCTCTGCCGCTTTTCTGGCCGCCGGCACTGAATCTCGAGCAAATGCACTGAAACAAGCACCTGGCCTCTCGGAGCTGCTGTCTTTGTCACATTTAGTATCTGAACATAAAGGCGAAACCTCAACCACCTCAAATGGGTCGCTAGACACCCTCAGCTCCCTTCTATCACCAGCAAAACCAGAGAGGGCTGATGTGTTGGCACAAGGTACTAAAAAGGGTGGAACTGAGCGCAAGCCTGACCACAAATCACCCCAGCAGGTCTGCAGCCCATCTAAGCCAGGTGAAGCTATCGATTTGAGCAGACTCATGGAGCAGGCCAACAGAATGAGCCCTCATCACCTCGACAGCGACTTCTTCTCACCATCGTCTCCAACTCCAACTTTTGGCTTGGGTCAAGATTTGTCTGTTTTTGCAAAACCTTCAGTATTTGCGATCGCTTTGTCGTTTCAGACTCACAGACAAAAGAGGAGGAGGAGAAAGCTATTGAAAGGACAAGGCCAGAAGACAAAAAGTTCTTGTCAGTCCTTCCTTCTCAAACCACAAAACAAATCCAAAGAGCATTGCCCCCCACTTTTTCCTATTGTACCTTTCCGTTTTGATTCTCCTTCACCTGACGATATCGTTCGAGCTAATCAAAGCAAAGCTTTCACACGGTAGACTCATTGAGTTGATGCTAAATTAGCCAATTTTTAATGGTAAATATTACTCTTTTTTTGTTGTTCTTTTTAGATAGTCAAAAAATTTACTTTTTTAAAATGTTGCATAAGCATAGCAGCTAGTTTCACCTATGGGACCAAATGAATGAAAAACATAATTTGAACAGGAAAAACTGTTACAATTGTATTATGTAATTGTTTTTTTTTTTTTTTTTCTGGTATATTAACATACAGAACAGAAATACTATCTAAATTTAAAAATGGTGGCAGCTTGATGGGACTTTTTTTGTTCATGAAGTTTGTGTAGCCACATCTTTTAAGACTTTTAGTCGTTTTTTCAATACTTTCTTATGGCAGCCTTTGTTGTTCAGTGTTTTAAAAGCTGAGTCTTCCTTTTGTACTTTTTGGTGACATATGGCTTTTTAATTTTTGTAGGACTGCAAAGAGTTTGATCCTTGCAAGTGAAAACTAAAGCACTTCTCTTCTGGTACAAACCCTTTTTCTAGCCTGTGTAAACTGAAAAGGGGAAAGAAGGGGCCGGCTTTGTTTGCAGGTGTGCTGCAGCGATTGGAATATGGATCAGTTAACCATTGTGCTGGTTTACTGCTGCCTGCGTTCGAGATCATGAGGTTGACTTTTTGGTTTAGGGGACACCTGGAGATTTTCCCATGAGCAAACAAGAACGCAGACACTCTAGCACACGTGCATACAGATATCGGAACAGACAATTGAATGCTTTTAAGTGTTCAGTTTGAAAGACGGATTTCATTTGGAATGTAGAGACTTTCAAGAAAAACTGAATCCTTTTAAAGACAATTACTGCAATGTGCATGGGGTGTTCTCTCATTTACAACTTGATTAACTATGCCAATTTTGAAATAAAGATTAAGAATTGTACATATCCTAATCATATCTACCTAGACATGTTTTGCTGTTTTGTTCATGCCTTAACACACATCTTTCTGCATTTGCAGTTTGGAGTATGCCAAAACATATCTTTATGTACATGACCAAAAAAAGCTGTTCCTTATTATGAATCAAAATCTACATTTGTGTCTTCTGTGAAAAGTTATTGAAATAGTAATTGCTGGCCTAAATAGGCAAACCGCTAAAAACAATTTGTATTGGGGTTTATATTTTTGTTGAAAAAGGACATTGAACACGAAGGACATTGTTTGCATTTAGCAGTGTACCTTAGTGTGCTAGTTTATGGGTCAATGTATCCAGGAAATCATTTCCATCACTGGGAGACTGTCACTGGGTAGGCAAGATTAAGGTGGCGACATTCTAGTGTTGTGACAAACATGCTGCTTCTGGACAACATGACTAACTTTTGTGATTTCAACAAATTCTCCAACGTAAGCAGTATTTCTCCAAAGCTGCTTTGTAGTTGTGATCAGCCTCTTAGCTTCTTCTCCAGTAAAAACATTCCTTGCCTTTCCGGTCATTTTTGGTGGACAGCCATGACTTCATAGGTTTCCTGTTGTGCCACACTTTTTCTATTTCACTGTTGCAACTTTGTCCACTTTATTCCTGTCTCCCTTATTCTTTGGTCTGCTATGAAGATGGAGGTTAATGTCAAACATTTCTCGCACCAAGAAAACTGTATTTGTGTAAAGAAGATACCAGGTGTACTTTAGTGTGTGTATTTTTTTTTTTTAGAGTGAGAAGTAATCTGAGTGTAATCAACCCTCAGGGTGTCATATTGAGACTAATGAGGCTAAGGGGGAAAAAAAACACTTTCAAATATAGATGGGGGCAAAAATGACTTGTCAAACAGGTTTATTTTTTCATTGAACAGTGTAACCATGGGAGAGGGGTCAAGGTTTGGAAAGAAGTCATTTTGATGGTAGAAAAAATGTTTTGTGACTAATAATGG